CAAGGACACTGGCCTGGGGTGGGGAGGGAAAGGAACCGTTTTATTCAAGCCAGCCCTGCCTCTGCCCCCTTCTGCCCTGCGCACTCCCTTAGGTCTCTGGAGCCCACATTACTCACAGAACATGACTGAGCCAACGCTCATGAGTAGGCTTCATGGGGACCTCCCACAATGGCACCTTGATGCCAGGCTGCTGTGGCTACTGAGTCAGCCCCCTGCCTCCCATCTGCCATGGAGATGGAGGGCGTTTATGCCCCCAAAACATCTGGAGGTTTAAGTCACAAGGTTGGTGGTTAGTTTGCTCCAGAGCAGTGCTGTCTAATAGAAATAAACATGTAATTTCAAATCTTCAAGTAGGCACATTAAAAAAAAGAAACAAGTGACATTAATTTAAATACTATGTCTTATTTAACCAATCAATATGTTCAAAACATTATCATTTCACCATGTAATCAATGTAAAGATTATTAATGAGTTATTTTGCATTCTGCTTTTTGTACTAATCCTTAGAAATCCAGCTCATATGTTATACTTATAGAACATTCCTATTTGGACCAGCCAGCTTTCAAGTGTTCCACAGCCACATGTGGCTAGTGGCTACTATATGGGACAGTGAAGATACAGGACATTTCCATCATCATAGAAAATTGTATTAGACAGTGCTGTGCTGAAAGACCAAAAAGCTATGGGAAGAGGAGTGATGGGTGTGAACAGGGTGTGCTCCAGAATTCTCCAGAATTATTGAGTTGTTAGAGCTAATTACAGCAGAAATTGGAATGACAAGGACTGGGATGTTCTAGGAGCCCAGCCCTACCTCTAAGTGGGAATTAAAGTGGGCTTTTATGATAAGCCCTGGGACCAGGCATGGTCTGAAAGTTTGTGTCCCCTCACAAATCATATGCTGAAATCCTAACCCCCAATGAGATGGTATTAGGAGGTAGGGCCTTTGGGAGGTGATTAGGTCATGAGAGTGGAGCCCCCGTGAATGGGATTAGTGCCCTTATAAAAGAGACCCCAGAGAGCTCGCTTGCCCCTTCCAATGAGACGGCACCATCTATGAATTGGGACGATGGCCCTCACCAGACACTGAATCTCCTAGTGCCTTGATCTTGGACTTCCCAGCCCCCAGAACTGTTAGAAATAAATTTCTGTTGTTTATAAGCCACCCAGTCTATGGGATTTTGTTATAGCAGCCTGAACAGACTAGATAAACCATGCCTACACTGTGGAGGGCTGCCCCACAGTGGTGGGAAAGCCAGCAAGTATGACCATTACTCAAGGCATCTGCTGGTTGAGCCACCTGCATTTTAGCTGTTTTGGTCTGTTCGGGGCAGGGGCTGGGACAGCAGATCACCAAAGTCATGTACTTCTTTCAATAATAATTCTGGGTTTGCAATCTAATTTGGTGAAGCAGATGCAGAAACATGATCAAATTATGTGCACCCATGTCTGCACATGCATGTGCATTTGTGTGTGTGTTCTTGGCTGGGGAGAGAAGGAGCATCGTGAGTGAAATCCAGAAGTCCTAATGTGGCCATCAAAATCACCTTCCCGCCAGCTGCCAGCAGAGCACAGGGGAGCTGTAGACTCAAGAGGCTCATCAAAAACTGTGAGCCACGAAGGAGAGGCCTTGAGTCCGGAAAGAATGAGACGATGGGCACCCGGGCAGATGATCAGGTGGGAGGGAGAAGTGGTAATCAGAGGCATTCTCCACAGATAAGAGCTGCCAACTCTACATCAAGGATGTCACCCTGATCCCCAAATCAAGCTTAATTCAGAATCCCACATGGGCTTTTGTGTGAGGGAAAAGTGCAATTAGCCATCTTTCCCCCTTGTTCTCTGAGGTCTCCCTCATATTCTGATCGGGGAGGTAGCTGAGTCAGAAACGCCTTATATATGGATTGAAATCCTGGCTCTCCTAGTGATCCAGAATTTCTAAGGGGTTAGAGGATACCAGGTGGTTGGAAGAGGCTAAGGGACTTGCTTTAGCAATAATTTGCACAAGTCCCCTCTTTATTTTCATTTAGAGTGTTTGTTTATTTGGGACATCAAAAATATCTCGCCACCCTTCGGTCCCACCATGGACCTTGGACTAATTACTTAACCTGTCTGAGCCTCAGTTTTCTCATCTCCAAGATGGGAATAATGCTGCTCCTCTCACACGGCTGTAGTAAGAATTAAACCAGGGCTTGACAGTATGGATCTACCAAGGGCTAAAACTGGAGCATGACACCAGGAACTTCGAGTCCCCAACCAGACAGACAAATGTCAGTATTGCTGCCTGCTGACACTCCCCTAACAGTGATTTATAGCTCTCTCTCCACCACCATTCACTCCATCAGCTCCATCATTTAGTCACTCAACTCTCATTTATTAAGCAACAGTTGGCTGCTGGCGATTCCAAGATGAAAAGGAACAGTCAGCCTTTCCATGTGAAATAGTTAGGGACTATTTTGGATCTATCTTCTTGGCACATAAGCACGCACTGTGGGTAATTGGGCTGCCTCACTGGTGGGTTTCCTTCACCACCCCCACACCAATTAGGTATAATATTTTGTTAAGAGGGAGGGGCTGAAAACTCTGGCCTTCAGGAGAAATAAGTAAGAGACTTGGAGCAAGGGTAGAGGGACATGTTGCCCCTTTAAATCATAACCACCAAAATCTGGAATCGGACACTCGACTGGAAATTTCTCTGAGCCTCAGATTCCTCATCTGTAAAATTTCCCTGCCATCACAGGGTCCCCGAGGAGGTTTCCCACATGTGAAGTGCCTGGCAGACAGAAGCCAACAATGAACGTTAGCTCCATTCCCCATTTATTTCCCCTTACTCCCCTCCTCCCCAGAAGTCTAAGGTCAGGAGAGGAACCAGAGAACAGACACTCGCTATTTTCTTACTGTAGGTTCGGAGCACACTGTGCATGGCTACCTGCACATTCGGAATATCTGCATTCTGCGTCCGTGGATTTTGGGAGGCCAGTCCTATCCTCAGCTTCCAGGTCATTATAGCCAGAGCTCTCTGGCTGCTGGTGCGACAGCACTCCCGGCAACACCTCGTCACACACCTCCCAGCCTTTTCTTTTTCTTTCTTGCAGTTCGGATGGCCCTGTCTCAGTGGCTCTGTTTTCTGGACACAAGATTTTGAAATTATTTTACAGTTCTTGCCCAACTGCCCACCAACCAAGTTCTCATACCGGCACCTGGCAGAACCTGCAGCACTGTTTGCTCATTTGTTACTGAGATGAGCAGGTTTTTCAGTGCCAAACCTCACTGCTGGAGGTCCTGGCCTCTTTGCATGATAAAGGCACCCCCAGGTGGCTGAATGGTCCCTTGGGCTGGTGAAGTAGGGACCAGTACCCCAAGTTCTAGTCTGACTTGGCTCCCAGGCCCGGGCTACCTCAAGATGCCTCTAGTGGGCATGTGTCAGGATGAGAAGCGAGTGCCCATTTGCAGGATACTGCTTATGTGTGTGGTGTGGCGGGGGTGTAAGAGGGGGACTTCTAAGAGGCAGAGAAACTGGGATGCCACCAGGCTTATGATTCTGTGCCTTCCAGCCCAGCCCTAGCTTCTGCAAGTGGCATAGCTCCTCTCATGTTCCCCTTTGAGAAGAAAACGTGCAGGAGAAACAGTGGGTGGGAGCACAATGCCCGCTGGTGGGTGGCTCCCACCCACTGGTGGCCCGACTGTCCCCCTCCCACACCGCCACCCCTCTACTGTAACAAAGGCACATCCACATCACATTTTCAAAGTTATCAGAAGTCTCTTGGTCTACCATCAAACAATTTTGAGCAAGAGAGACACCTAGTAAACGGTGGGAAAGATTCCCTGGGAAAAGCACAGAAAATCTTGCCCGATGCATGCAAGGCTAAGAATTGTTTTCTCCCTGCTGGCTGCTTTTCTCTCTGTTCTAAAGAGAAGCTTCCAAGAATCAGCTAAATAAAGGGATCACACCAGAGGATGCGAGATAATGCTAAACCAACAAAAACAAAGACCCAAATGAAACAGAGCGAGCCATGAGAATACCCGGTTATCAAAACTTTGTTTGGCCATATCTATTTATCATCGCTGCACACCCGGGCTCTGCGGAATATCATTCTGTTGATGTCACTTATCCTCAGCAAAATATTTACATATCCTTAAAAAACGCCAGATGAGGGGGGCCCCGGCCCCGCGCAGTGCCGCAAGCCACCCCTCAAGCCCCAGCGCCGGGTTCTGGGCAGCCCAGGAGGTGGGGGCATGACGGTGGGTGGCACCGGCAGGCACAGGTAAGAGCTACCAACAGTTCCAGGAACAGGGCCACCCAACCGCTGCGCCTTGCCCTGCCCACCTCTCCCCTACCTGACTCTGCAAGAAGCAGCCACATCCCCGATATGGTGTCGGCGCCTCCTCCTCCTCCTTCTCCCCTGCCTTTCTCATTGATTAAGTTCTCAAACCATTGTTAAAGCCCGCTTGCTTTTCCTTGGAAAACTGGGCTAAATTCATTAAGCTTCCCCTTGCCACAAAAGGAATATTCATAAAAGTTTGGCAGGCAGAAAGGGAGGCTGACTGAGTGCCATGGGGTGGGTGACAATCTGCTCCTCCAGAGCCACCTTCTTCCTCCGTGCCCCATCCCTCTCTCCATCCATCCGTCGTGCCCCAAACCTACTCCAGGGACTTCTGATAGGGAAACACAAAGCAGCAGCTGTTTGGCAACATTTCTACCCCTCGCCAGCAACTGTGGTGGGATGCCATTTCCCCACCCAGGCGGAGCTTATCCTGAACAATAGTCGGGCTTTAAATGGCAAACAAGCAAATACACAGAGCACAACCCCAACCCCCCGAAAAAGCCAACGCGGAGAGCAGCAATAACTCCCTCCGCAGCAAAAGGCGCCACTGAAACGCACGCAAAAAAAGCAGCGAGAACGTCGCTCGGTGCCTAACATGGCAGAAAGCCCGAGCTGGTGCGGCCACCCCAGGTCTGGGCATTGGGGGGCACCAGGGCTCCCGGGGCGCCGACGCACACTCACCCGGCTCCGAGGGGATGCGGGGCTGGCCGAGCGTCACAAAGAGGAGCCCAGCGCGATCTGGCAAAACCCAACTTTCCACCCGGCTCGCCAGGGCCGCCAGATACGTCAACAGAATCCATCTTTCGAAGGGCCTGGAAGGCGCCGGGTTTTCCGGGCCGGGGCAGAACAGCAGATCCGGAGGCGGCCCGGTGCGGTGCCCGGGCGAGGAGTCTGCCGTGCACCGCCCTCTGCGCCCGGTGCCAGCGCGGGTGGCGGCCCGAAACCCACTTCGGGGCCCCCGCCCCGCCGGCCGGCACCGCCTCCCCGGGCGTCCCCGGCCCCGCCGGCCAGTGCGCGGCGCCTGGAGCAGGAGCGGGGCCCCGGCGCGTCGCACGGGCGGCGGC